GCATCAGTGATGGGTTGGTGGTGGGTGCTGGTGCTCGGGGGGGGGAACCCTGCCAGGCTGAGTGGTACCCCCAGCTCCAATCGAGTCTCATCCTGATCAGAGCTGCCTGACTGGGACACGCTGGTGGCACCTTCTCCTTGGCAGGTTGTAGAGGTGAAGGGATGATGGGGATGGATGGGGAGAGGGGACAGTGAGAGCTGAGGATGCCCCAGCCCTGGATCCAGTGGGCTCTCACGACCCCAGCACCTCCCGGAGCCGGGGTTTCACCACCACATCCCCCTTCACTTCATAGCTCAGACTCTTCCAAGCCAGGATGGCTGGTGGCAGGCGCAGGGACTGGTAGGCAGCTCTCATCTTGTCTGGGGACAGCCCTGTGTCCCACAAGTAGACATCAGCCAGCTCACCAGAGAAGGAGTTATAGACATCAAAGCCACCCCCGAAAGCATCCTGCTCCTGCCCCAGGAGGATGGCAGCCTCTGAGCCCACCGTGTAGCCCCTTTGCAGCCCCTTACGGGGCCAGGGTTTCCCATTGAACCAGAACTCAGCGATGCCAGTGGCTGATTCCCAACTGGCACAGATGTGTTCCCAGTCCCCACGACCCTCAGGGACACGGAAGGTGACAAATTTGCCCCCTATGTAGAACCGGTACTCGCTGGGTTTGGGTTTGAAGACCAGGATCTCGTTGTCCTGTGCTTTGGTGGCGTAAGAGAAGAGGCTGTAGGGTCGGGTGAGGTCGGTGTAGGACCGTAGGCAGATGGTGACATTCTGCAGTGGCTGGTCCAGCTTTGCCCTCAGCACCACGTAGGCATCGCTGGGATCCTTCCGAAAGATGAACACCTTTCGGTACAGGTCTGGGAGATGAGAGAGGGGATGTATGGGGAGATTGGGGTGTCCTACAGCCCCCTCTGTGCCTTCCTCCATCCGACCCCCCTGGGGTGACTCCACACCCCTGATGTCCCCTCTGCTGACCCCACCCTTGCTCCCGCATCCTCCATCCCCA